ACTTGCGTTAAAAGTAGAGATGGGCAAAACTCGGGATTTTCTACGTGACACGTTGTGTATGCAGCTCATAAAATTTTATTGGAATAAAGTGCAAGTAGCTCCGACTTATCGTTGGTTTTGGGCAATTTTTTTTACGCTGTATGCTCGACGATTCTTTTTTATATGGAGAAAACAAAAAAATTTCCAAAAATCAACGATAAGTCGGAGCTACTTTCAACTTGCACTTCATTATAATTAAATTGAATGGGCTACAAACCTGCATACTCAAAATATTTCTCAAATACCGAATTAAAAAGATTGAAATTTTTACGAAAGTTTATTAATTTTTTAAATGTTGCTCAAAGATTGACACTCATCTCTAGTTTAAAGTATACATAATAATGAGGGTTCTTTCATTTCTAAATGGCAGACATTTTTTCCATTTTAATGCCTAGAGAAAATTTGGCACTAAATTATTTAAAGACTAAATTAAATGTATTAATTAAGAGTATGTATGTATGTACATACCTGGGTAAATGGCCATAAATTTACTCCTTTCATCTTTTGACACCTTTACAGGCGTATACTTATTTTTCAACGTTGATAAAGTACTAAAAAGAATATTTAAAATATCATATTTGCATACAGTAAATTGCACATATTAATTTTTTATTTTTATTTTATTTTTTACTTATACATAAACCAGCGACAAGTTTATACATAGATAATACATGACTAAGACCTGACAGCCTGACTTATAAAAATAGCAATTACACCGTAGGGAGAATCTCAAGTTTCGAAATGACAAAGTGAAAAAACATTGAAACACGTAAACTTAATTTTGACTCGTTGTTTACGAATCTGTATTCTGTTTTTCTAGATCTGGTCATTGTCCAAAGATATTTTTAATTTGTATCCCAAAACAAAATCTAACTTTAAGTATTGTATACATCTCTCAAGAAAAACATAAAATTCGTATAAAATTGCGCATAAGAATCGGAAAAGAAATTTGTGTCTATCTAAATTACTTAAATCAGTATGCAGCTCCCAAGAAAACAAAAATCGTATAACTACATATCGACTGCTGAGTGGAAAATCGACCTATCTCGGCAGCCAGTTCGAAAACGCTCTATCTCAAAAAACTTTTCAAGAACGCCCTATTTCAGATTTTTATTGAAAAACACCATATCTCGGAATTCGGTTCAAAAACGCCCTATCTTACTTCAAAATGTATTGAAAATGTGCTGATATAGGGCGTTTTTGAATCGGCAGCAGAGATAGGGCATTTTTGAAACAAATTCTGAAATAGGCCGTTCTTGAAAAGTTTTTTGAGATAGGGCGTTTTCGAACTGGCTGCCGAGATAGGTCGATCTTCCACTCAGCAGTCGATATGTACTTACATGGTTCAATAATAAAAGGTTTGCTCAGAAAACAGTTTTCTGGCTCCCTCTTGACAAAATCGGCTCCCTTAGCAAGGCACTGTGTGTGAGTTCATGTTTGTGTGCAAAGCTCTTGAAAGGGAGTTAAGGGAGTGTCAAAACTCCCTAGTGTCACTAGTGAGTAAACCTTTAATTATTGAATCATGACAACGTAGAGTTACCTTATACGATGTTCGCATGAGGCGATTTTACAGGCAACTTTTAGTTGAAAGCAAAAATCGCCTGATGTGAACGGCCTTTCAACTAATCGGTTCCAATGAAGTTGGGGTGCAGCCAACTTTTGATTCAACTAATCGCCTTTAAAATTTCCTGGAAAATCGCCTCATGCGAACACCGTATAAGTAAAAACACTATGAGCTGGTTGCCAAAAAATGCCTACAGCTGAGATCACCTGTTTTTGGCATTCGTTCTTAATCATTTACAATTTCATTCATTTCTATTACTACCCTGCAGTACGGGGAGCGACTACAGGACTGATGAATCGGTAGCTACCTGTTAAACTCCGTCAATTACCGACCGACTACTTGCAGTGTATTTCATCGATTACTTTTATAAGGCAATGTCCTAGGCGGTAGTCACCATCGGCTCTCTCTCTGCACTACCGGGCTGCGAGCCAACGACGCACATAAAATTTCATTGACTAAGTGCGTACATATCATTAAATCGTTAATAGTACCCGTTGGAGATGAGTTGGGGACTAATTGATCTCCAATTATACCCATAAGGGATGAGCCGAGACCAATTGATCTCCATTAGTACCCGTATGAGACTAGTTGCGACTAATTAATGCCCAATTGTACCCGATTGAGAGTAATATCGGAATACTCTCTTTAGAGATTAGTCGCACAATTTTTTGCAGGGACATTACTTATGGAACTATACGATGGTCATGATATAGAAGGATTAAATATATGACTGGCAAGGGTTTTCAGAAATAGTAAAAAAAATATTAAAATTAATATTTACTTACCGTTTTGATATGCCCAGTTGAGTTTGACGTTCTGTCCGAGTACTCGTAATCAAATCCCCAATATTATAATTGTTAGCTTCGAATGTACCCAGATGATGTGATATTGGCCGATAGGGAAGAGTTTTATTGTTTAGGTATATACCACAGGCGCTAACAGTGGTAGCTACATTAGAGTGTAGCTGTGGCCGTCTATGTATTATTGAAAGCATTTTTGTTGTGTTTCTACGATATAGCAAATGAAATTAATTTACATTTATTCTCTACTAGATGCTTACATAAAATGCTACTCCGCAAAATACAAAATACAGAATAGGATCTGAAAAAAGGATCAGTGCAGTGCCTTTGTCTTCACCTGGAGGCTGTGTCGGAGCCACAGCCACTAAACTTAAACGTTAACATTCAAGCTAAAAACGGTATATGAAATATTCGTTTTGATTGTATTGAATTGACTTTAATAAATCAATATGAATTGCAAAATAATAATAATTAGCG